CAGAAAATACTACGTGGCACAGCTCAACCTGAGTTCAGTTTTTTTAAAGTTTTCATTAAAATATTTTATTGGTGCCTCACTGAGGTTCCTTCCACCTTATTTCCAGCATCCCACGCTTGTGCGTGTGTATATAACGAATTGATTTTATGTAGTGTTTCCATCACACTTTTTTTTCATTATTGGATTCTGGTCCTCACTGCCATGTCGTTTCTGAAGCACAGTGGCTAAGACATTGAGTGCACACCTACCCGCATCTGTGGTCCCGGAAGAGAGTTAAATTACCCGCTTTGCAGATGGAGAACCTGAAAGACGGGCTGTTTACCGTAGTTATTTTTTTCATGTTAGCCCTTTTGAATGCAACATCATGCTTCATCAGGAGAACATCCCTGGACAAATGAGCCGCAACTAACCTTAACTCAAATAAAGCTACCACATAATCTCTCTCCCTCCCAAAGTTAACCCTGGGTCTTAGTGGACTCATTTGTTAAAGTGAAAGGGTGGAGCCAGGAAATTTTTAAAGCCCTTTTTAGCACCTGTATGTGATCTCTCAACTCCTGGTTTACTTGTCTCGCTCACCCCTTGAAAGCATCAAAAGCTTTAATTTTGTTGTTTATAGACATAACTTTGTTCACCACTGGTCATTTTTAGGAAAGGATTTCCCATCTGAGAGGGAGATCTGATTCTTTCAGAGGGTTATGTTTGTTTATTTTTCCCGAAAAATTAGTGTAGTACAATTAGATGATTCCTCTGTGGCTTTATAGGTCAAGTCTTACAATAGCAAATGTAACGTTTGAGTAAATTTGATGCATGCACACGTGCATTTATGCAGCAGCTATAGTGACAGCATGGGGTGAGGCTGAAGCCACTTTGCCATCTGCCTGCCCCTTATTGGTGCCCAGGCTATTTTCCAGGGCTGGGGAAAAATGCAAAATGGTGCTGACGGTGCTCACTTTAAACTCATGACCACTAACTTCAAAAGAACGAATAATGGGGTCCAGCATTCCTTCTGCTCTGCTTACCCTCTTGCTCTCCTAGATCCGTATTTCACCCTTTGTTCTATCCAAAAGTTAACGGCCTCTTCCTCCCTTGATTCCCCTCACCACCACCACCACTGATGAGAAAATAAAAAGCAATTGGAAGGAAATCCTCCTGCCTTGTCCACTGTCGTACCTCCATCTGCACCTGGGCACCCTGCTGGCCTTCCGTCATTAATATGCTCTGTTATTATCTGAGACCAAACCCTCGGCTCGTCTGATTCACACTCCCCTGGGCCTATGTACATCTATTTATTTAGCGGTTGTCCCTCGTCTCCCCTGCCTCGTTAATTATCCCTCTTCCTCTATTACCAGACTATTCTTATTATGTTGAATTATTTCCCATCTTTAAATGGAGGGAGGAAGAAAAAAACTTCCCGGAGAGACCCCATGCTTCCCTACAGCTACTGCCCCATTTCTCTTCCTCTTTGCAGCAAAATTCTTCAAAAGAGTTGTCCACTCTAGCTTTCCACTCTCTTGAAACCGCTCCATTGAGGCTTTTGATTCCATTACTCTGCCAAACAGCTCTGACCAAGATCACCAGGGATCTTCACCAAGTCAGAGGCGCTGCTCAGGCCTCAGTGCCCGTCTCACTCATCCTGATGGCAGCACTCGACGTGGTCACTTGTTCTCAGGCTCTTCCTTGGCTTCCAAGACCCCCCTCTCGCTACTTCTTTGGCCCCAGTGGCAGGTTGCACCTCGTTTTGCAGACTTTAAGCACTAGAGTACCCCAAGATCACTCTTGAGTATGCTCGCCTTGTAGGTGAATCCAGTGGGTCCTAAAACGCATGTTTACAATGAATACCAAATTTGTATATCTAACGTGGACCTCCCAGCCCACACATTCTCATGTCCATGGTCTCCCGGATTTCTCTCTTGGATGTCAGGATGTCCAAAGCCACGTTCCTGGTTTCCAGTGCCCCACGCCTGTTCCCCCTGCAGTCTTACTCTCTCCAGTTGCTCATATCAAAACTTGGGACACCCTTGACTCCTCTTTCAGGGTCTGCTGCTGGCTGTACCTTCAAAATACATCTTGAATCTCAGCATTTTTCACAACCTCCACGGTACCCCTTCATCCAAGCCACTACCATCTCTCGAATTATAATCATTGCCATTGCCTTTCTTCTGCCCAGAGCAGCCAAAGAGAAACTTTTAAAATGTGGAGTCAAATCACCATGTACTAAAAGCCTTGCAGTGATCTTCCATTTCACTGAGAGTAAAAGCTGAAGTCTTTACAACGGCCTGCAACCCTCAGGGATGGGGCCTCTGCTATCTTTCTTGAGGACATTATCATCTTTGTCTCCCTGTCTGTCTGCCTCTTCCCCTCCATGTCTGGCTTCTCCCCTCATTCCATCCCTCCCTATCCTCCCCCTGTCCTCAGTCTCCCTATTCCGGCCGCTTTGCTTGCCTGCCTTTCTTTGAAAGAGCTGAGCATGTCCCACTTCAGGGCCTTTGCACTTGGCTGCTTCTACCAGATAGATGTTCACAGTGGTCACTTCTTCCATTCATTTCAAATGTCACCTCATCAAAGAGCTCTTCTTTGAAAACCCTATTAAATATAGCACCTCCCTACATGCATTCCTCTTAACATGATTTGTGCTATTGGATATTATTAACTCTTCTCCCCTCTTTGCAAGCAGGGACTTTGCTCTGTCGCTACTGTATCCTTAAGACTCAGAGTAAGCTTGGCACATTGTTGGTGCTGAATGAATGGTGATAGTGATTCATTGTATGATTCTAGTAAGTATGAATGCCTTAAATTACTTAATAAAACTTTTGAAGAATTGAAAATGTATTTTTTCAAAACATAACAAAATATGATAAGTTCATGTACACACATCTCTAAATCTTATAATCTGTTTCAACTTGTGTGTGATAATAAGGCTTTTACTTACCAATGTTTAAGTATTACTTTTGCAGCAGGCATTCTGTTAAGATTATCCAGTTTAACTCCCACAGTTCATCATATGGTATTCCATTTTACAAAAAAAATGGTAATGAGGCTTATTAAGTTTGATACCAGCTGAAGATAGGAAGTGGCCAGGTTGGGATTCGATCTCCAGGTGCCTAACTCCAGAAGCTAACATCCAAAGCAGGATGTGACTGCCAAAATAAAAGCCTCCTGGAGAATCCTTTTTAAATGATATGCTGCTCTGTACATGCTCGTCATGTCTATGTTTATAGACTTGAATAGAAATGTATTTAAGAGCTAATGTTCAGTTTTGGAAGTCAAAGATTAATATTTGTAATTGTTTAACTAATAAGTATAAAGTAGATAATTTTTAAAACTTTAAGCTGAAAGCGAGCTCTCCTGGGCTTCTGTGGTCTGGTTCATACAAACATATTCTGAGGTCCTGACCGGTGAGCTGTTGCTATGGTTGTGAATGCTTTTGTGCGTGAGTACATAGATACGGGCAACACAGAGCCAGCTTGGAGGGCTCTGGGCTCCTTCTCAAGCGGGCCTCTCCAGAGGGAAGTGTGTGCTGAACCCACAACTTCAGATTTTTAGTTAACTTTGTAGTAGAGTATTGCTCTTTAGCAAATCAGCCATAAACTGAAGAACAGAAACTTTATGAAGGGGTTGCTAAGTGCAAGGGAAGAGAATATCAGTGAAACCATGGCTAGTCCCACTTTAATTTTGTGGTTCTCTAGAAGAGATGGAGCTGGGGGACTCAAAGAGCCTCACTTTCTGGTTCTTCCTTCTCTCTGCTGCATCCTACTTCTCTCCTGGTCCCCTGTCTGAGGTGTGACCCCTTTCCTGAAGACCCGAGTGACTGGACAATAGTGACCTACATTTTTGGCAGCAGAGCAAGTGGATTGATAGAATGGACATTTTGCTCAAGGGTTTAGCTGCCCGTGAAATGAGCAGTAGCTGTCAGTCACATTGCTCTCCGTGGAAGGAAGGTCCAGGTAGCAAAAAATATGCTTTCCTGGAGTTTTGTAGGAGCTACTTTTTTTTTAAATAGAATTAAGAAAGTAATGATGCTCTGGGAGAGCTGGCAACCAGTTATAGGAAGCTACATCCTGTTCATTAATTAGGTAATGTGCTGAATATTGTAAGACAGAAGTGTGTTTTTCATTATTACCATTAATCTTATCATATGACTCCATATTCAAGACAGGCTATTGTTGAATTCACTCTGAAAAAGCTGTCATTTTTCTTTGAGGTTCTGTTTGTTCTATTGGGGAACAGATGTCAGAAACTTGAGTGCGAATCAACCAGAGGACTAACTGTACAGCAATCCTGAGTTCATTTATAACATGATAGCATGAAGTATTTTTGTTGCTCTTACCTAATGTGAGTGAAATTAACAAACTTTTGTATATTTGCTGGTACCACGACTTTTTGCTGAAAACTTTGATTTCTTATTGATTTTTACACTTTGGGTTGGGATGGCATGATTCATTCCTCCATTTTCACTTGAGTTTTAAAAATGCAGGTAATGTAGTTCGAGTTATTACAAGTGTGTGTATGTAATTTAGGATTCTTTCCCCCCCCCCACCGCCATGTGTCTTAATTAAAAATTGCTAAGATATAATTTTTCAATCTTTCAATATATAATTAAGGCTGTTTTTAGATGAGATTGTTTATGAACAGAGAAATAAGATAGGAAGTGACATGGGAAGATAATTAATAGCTCCTCCTCAGGATTAGTCCATAAGGTGACACAAAGTATTCTCATTGTGTTCTTCTATTTTTGTGGGCTTTGTGTCATGACCTCTCCATTTTTTTCTCCATTCCAACATCTGCTGGCTTGTAAGTGAAATAGTTTCTGTGGTATTTGAAATGTTTTAGAGATGCTTTAAACATACCCAGCTATTGTTCCCAAGCAACTGACCAGGTCATATTTGGAATTGGGCTCTCATACTGTGAACTTAATAATTAACGCTTTTTGGCTTTAAAATATGAATTGTCCTTAATTTTATTGTTCTTTGTCCCTCCCCCCTTCCCCCTTTTTTAAACAGGCTGCAGATACTTTGGCTGTGAGGCAAAAAAGAAGAATTTATGATATCACCAATGTCTTGGAAGGAATCGACCTGATTGAAAAAAAGTCAAAAAACAGTATCCAGTGGAAGTAAGTTACAAGCCAGTACCCTCGGAACCCTCTTCTAAACCCTTTTCTTCCTAATGCTCTGTAAAATCTGACCTTCCTACCATCTGTCTCTCAAATTCTCTACTTCAGCCTTCCACTCTAGTCACACCAGGCCCTTCATTTTTCCCTGGTCACTCCTGTGTTGGTATGGTCCCTTGCTCTTGCTGTTGTTTTATTTATAGTCTTAACATTCTAATCTTTTTCTCCCTAAAGTTACTCATTTGGCACACACTGTATTGCTTTGTATTATTAATCTGTCTTTGCCTGAGTGTTTATCTGCTCAATTAATATAATCTCCATGAGAACAGGAACTATGTCTTCTACATAGGAATATAAACCTTATAAATAATAGTTGATTGAAATGCATGTTATCATTTGTTAACTGTTGTATAGTTAGTTGTATGTTTGAATGTGAAAAATACTTTGTTCTGCATATATGTCCCCTTTGGCTTTAGTTTTCTGTTTTGTTTGGTTTTTAAGGCAAAATCCCACCAAAATACTAAAAGGTTGCAACCTATTTTACCAGTATCTGTCTGTTGTGAGGCTTCCAGCTGTGACCGTGAGGTTCTGACATCCTTCTGTCTCCTCAGTCACCAGCCTGGCTTTTAGAGGACATTCTAGAATATATTGAAAATTTTCATAATTTGATTGTTCTTGGCAATAAATTTTCTAAGCAAAAATGTTCAGAGGTATGCTGTTTAAATTTTGTAAGGACTTTAATGCCTGATTTTCAGGAAAGTGTAAAGATTTTTGTCTTGAATATATTACTAATTAAGTCAGCTTTATTACTACAGAAATTAACCTGGGCCTGATTCTGGGGCTATTAATTCTCATGTTTTTAAGAGGTGTAGGTGCTGGCTGCAATACTAAAGAAGTCATAGATAGATTAAGGTATCTTAAGGCTGAAATTGAAGATCTAGAACTGAAGGAAAGAGAACTTGATCAGCAGAAGTTGTGGCTACAGCAGAGCATCAAAAATGTGATGGACGACTCCATTAATAATAGATATCCTTTTAATGCCTTATACATACAGCTGTGGAATATGTATTCATGCAGTACGTTCTTCCAGTCTGAAGATCAGTTACTTTATTCTAATGTTGTAGAGTTCAGTTTTGTAAGTGAATGTTTTAATTTTATAATAGTTTTCTAATAATTTTTACTAATATTTATTTTTTTTACATTTTAAACTTACATAGTACATCTATTAACTATTCCTGTGTTGCATGAAGAAAAAGTATTCATCTACTTTTGGTCTACTCGTTGACGGAATGTAATGTGCCAACTAAAGTGTGCTTAGGGGGTCTTTGAATATTAGAAATCATTGTTAAGTGCATAGATGTATTTAAATAATTATGTTCACTGTTCTGAAGTGGTGAAAACTCAGCAACTCTCAAAGTTGCAAAAAATAAATTTTGGTTTGAAAATGAAATATCATGGGCCTTCACTCAGTCCAGGATACTTTCTGCCTAATATTTACCCAAAGACAGTACCTACTGGAGAAGGTACTGGAGACAGTACCTATCGTATTATGTTGGAGGAAAAATTAGTGATAGACTTCATGTTTCTTAAAAATCATTGTTCTCTTAGATTCCTGTGATTCTATTGATTTGTGAACTTACCTGTACTTGTATAAAACTTTTCAACTACATTTCTCTTCTACCAATCTCTCATAAATTTTTGATGAACATAGTTTATTTTTTATGTTGCGTTTGTTGAAAAAGTCAATGATCTCATTTTTTATTTCCTTTCTGTGGATTAAAGCTCTTTAAAAGTTTGATAACAATGGGTTTTTTCAAGATGTGCTTTGTGGAGTCCCCAGATTAAAAAACCATTGAACTAGTTGATCTTGAACTTTGCTGCACTGCTTTGCAAGATTCTGGCCACTCCTAATTCCCCAAACCATGATACAAAAAGATTCTTGATGTAGAGGCTTTTATGGTCACTTTCTACTCCCACCAATAGCATCCTTATCCCCATGGATATCTTCCCCCAGAAGCCCTGTCTCCGTGAGGAATATGCACTGTTTTTCATCTTTCCCGCAAAGGTCCTCAGATGTCATGAATCAAAAGTGGCTTCTTCCCAGAGCAGAAGATGGGCAGTCCTCTTATGGATGATTCATTGTCTCTGCCCTTTCAGACTTCAGACTTCTTTTTTATGTGGTCTTGTTTGGCTGCACCTTCACCCATTTGGTCATTTTGTTTATTTTGGCCTTCAGACATATTATCTTAATTTAAATGCTTAGACCTTGATATAAATGTTGCTCCTTAACTCTTATGACAGTACATTTTCCTATGTAACTCATGAAGACATCTGTAATTGCTTTAATGGTAAGTGCTATTAATAAATTTGTTCCTTGCCCTTTTTTTCTGATCAACCTATTTAGTGCAGAGTAACTCAAAATTACCCACACACCACCCTAAGTCATTATTTTTAGCAGCTGTGGACATTTTGACTCACTGTACAGTGCTGTATATTGACAGGCTGCTTTCATCCTGTTACCATGACAATAACTGTTTTTCACGTTTTCACTTCATTGCCTGCACTGGTAGGTATAAACTGTGTGTGGAGGGGCAGCCAAGTCAAAGAGGGAATAAGCAACAGTCTCCATGTCACAGAATCAGAGTCAGTAACCAAACTTGAACTAGAACACAGTTCTCATTGGCACTGTTTATGAAACCATATGCAGCAAATGCACTGTTCACAAATGAACCCAAAGAAAGTATGAGGACAGAGGTAGGTGAATCCGTTTTATAAACAGAAAAATGATTCCTAACCCAGTTCCATCTCCTGCCTCCATGTATTCCCCTTGAAATGCCAATATAATGTATTGGTAACTAAAATGGGTGAGGGAAACATGTATTCCCGTAATTATAACACAAGTATAATGAAATTTTGTGTACATTTTATAATTAATTATGCATGGCCTATTAAAAAGGACAGTCTTGTGTATTATGCACGTACAAAAAACAAATCTGCCAAGCACCTTTCCGATGGAATCTGACTTTCCATCAAAGACTGTTGGAAATATGCATGGCCTTATTGCTCTACTTTGCCATGTCTTATCAGCTTTCTAAGAAAGCTTGGGGAAAGTATTTTTAATCTTCAACTCAACAGAGTTTGCTGTAGAGTTTGGCTTTAAAAGTTTACTTTAACTAAAAATGTCACTAAATCATACCCAATCTCTACTGTCCCATCATTTCAGTTTAAAAATCTCAATTGAACTGTGTTATTTAATTGAGGCTAAAGGTTTCAAGAATCTTGGATTTTACATGAGACTCAATGGAAACAAAATTAAGAAGCTGAATTTGTGAATGAGAATAGAGCTAACACTGAGTATTTACCCTATACTAAGATCTAATACATTACCTCATTTAATTCTCAAAGCAAACCTATGTAGTAAGTTACATTTTCCCCATCTTACAGAATTAGGAACCAAAGCCCAGTCGCCTAGCTTGAATTCAGACCTTAGCATTCTGACCCCAGAGCCAGCACACCTTCACTGTATTCCAGAATGAATAGTATTTTCTAAAATTTAAAAATATTTATTTTTGATCAGGTGATACACTTTTGGCCATTCAAGCACCTTCTGGTACACAGCTAGAAGTTCCTATTCCAGAAATGGTACGTAGAATAACTTGTTAAGATGGATCCAGTGTCTCAAGAGGGATGAATGTATTTTCTTTATCTGAACATGAGTTAATTGTGTGTTAACATTTTCAAGTTACTGCTTTCAAGTTTTCTATTTTAAAGTATAAATATCTGAATTTGGATGTCTTCAGTACTTAGTAAAATTACAGAAGTGACTGAATCATTTAACATTTTGATTTTCTTTTAACTTGATTTTGAACTAGAAGATATCAAATGACTAGTGACGGTCAATAATCTACAAAATCAGTTTAAATGATTATAAGTGATATGACAATCCTGAGAAAAAAATTCAATATCAACAATAACACTGCTTTAAGTTAGGTCTTTTAAAAAATGTTTTCTAGCTTATTGAGTAAAAGACATTGACTATACTATATATGTTTCATGATGCTAGTTTTTAGATTCAGATTACCTAAATCAAACTGACTTAACAGCCATTAACAAGTAAAAGAGGGAGTAGAGAAAAAGACTACTATTAGTATCCGTCCTCTCCTCCTAGCTATTGTAGAACTTTGTAATTAAGCATTTTTATTACTGGATTATGGAGCCTCATGATTCAAATTACCTTTTTGAAATGGAGGAACTTTACATTTATATCTGTGTAGGAAAACCAATTGTCTTTGTGCTTGCTGTATGGAAAAACATTTTGTGAAACAGTTGCTGTTTAAGACAGCATGTTGGGATGACATCTGTGGTGGATGCCAGGGGATGGAGTCCACAGTACAGAGAATGAATGCACTGTGGAGCTCCAACATGATAGTTACAGTAAAAGTGCCTGTTGCCAAAATTCTACAGCTGAGAGTTTTTGATTTGAGAAAAGCTTCCTTTCAGGGAAAAGTAAACTAGTTTAGAGCCCTCAATATCTTGTTACACTCTTGGTCTCTACTATTGTGCTTTGACTTAATGACTTTTTATTTTGTTGTGTGGATTTAGTTAGTCCTTAATAACTTTACCCTATTAATATTCCAAGGTAGCTAGAAATGTTAACATTTATTCATTTGTTTATATCCAATGACTTCAAAGGGTCAGAATGGACAGAAGAAATACCAGATCAATTTAAAGAGTCACTCAGGACCTATCCACGTGCTGCTCATAAATAAAGAGTCCAGTTCATCTAAGCCTGTGGTTTTTCCTGTTCCCCCACCTGATGACCTCACACAGCCCTCCTCCCAGCCCTCCACTCCAGTGATGCCACAGAAATCCAACACAGCAACTCAGAATCTGCCTGAGCAACATGTTTCTGAAAGAAGCCAGAATCTTCAGACACCAGCCACAGATCTATCTTCAGGTGGGTCCAGAGCCTTTGTTTTACGAAGCAGAGAAAGGAAAATATATGACTACTACATTAAACAAGTTGGGAGAACTTTTCTGAATGTGTCAGTTATGATGTTACTCTGTTAGCAAATATAGGTGGCAAAATAATATTAATTTAATTAATAAGTATTAATTTAGTAGCTCCTGTGTGCCCAGCACTAGGGTAGGTGGTATGAGGAAAATTTTTAAACTGATTCTATCTTGAATCATATCACTACAGATTTGTTTCTTAGGAGATACTGACATACAAATGGACTGTATATTCAGAAACATACAATTAGGTACGATATAATGTAAGATTGCATATAAAATGAATACTGAGCAAGGGAAAGATATTAGCCTAAGTGTGTTTTCCTTAGGATTCCATTTTAAGAATCAAGCCAAATTTGTTCCTTTTCCTCCTTTTACCATTTACATTCATCAGCTTTTAATCAGAGGTTTACTTTGCAAGGTTCATCTCTTAATAACTCTAGGATAAATTGCTGAACTGTGTTCTAACCACCTTTAAGAAAAATCAAACTAGTGTAGAATATAGTGTCTTATGCCTCCTTCTCCGTATCCTTTATTGTTATACTTTTTATTTGGAAAGCTCATTATAGAGTTAGTAAATGGTCTCCACTCCAATTTAGGAAATCTTGCCTTCCTAAATTGTTCATCCACGAAATGAAACTAGCTAAAACTCTTAAAAAAACTGGTCATTAGGAATAGGGACCACATCTCCCAAAGGTGTGAAAATTTCCTTGGCACCCAGTCTTTTTCCCTGGTTACTTGGCTGGGTATTTAGCAGCCCCTTACTGATTCCAAATAAAGGGCCCCTGGTAATTACTCTCTCACTGGTTGATGAACGGACTGTCATGCCAAACTAGGTGTAGTATCGCAGATCATTAAAAACTATATTGTACACAACCCAATTTGTTTGCTTTAACCTTTGGGGTGTGTATCATTGGAATGTGGCATGAACCTACTGCTCTGGGAGTTCACAGTAAGTAGAGTAAGGCTATAAAGGTCTAACAGACATGGAGTATTTTTTAGCTTCCTGTTGCAAATAATCTTACCTTCTTTCCTTTCCGTGTATTTCTATATTATAGGCCAGGGGGATGCACAACAGAAAATGCTGTCCTTAAAAAGCTTAAAATCTAATTATAATCTACTGGGGGATGAATAAAGCAGGCAAGTTTTATATGGTTTTACTTAGACACAATTAGTACATCACATTCCACAAAGCATTAAACATTGTTGAGCAGTTACTTTCCATAATGGTTTTATATTTGGAAATAATAAGTAAAGTAATTGGGGGCCAGGTTAGAGGGGGCCTTGAATATCAGACTGAGTTAGGACCTCAGGCGATAAGCCAGTGATGTGTGGCCAGAGAAGTGTTATATTTGGAACTATACACTGGTGAGCACAAGAGTAATGTCATTAGGAAAGAAGAGGCTTTCAGTCTGGGAAGCAGATTAGAGGCAGTAGAGACTGAAGATTTAGAAGTTTGCAGTTATGCAATTGTAGGAGAATATTAAGGCTAAAACAGGGTGATGACAATGGGATAGGAAAGAGAATAGACTGGGAAATATTGTTTAGGCAAAATAACAGTAGGTCTGTGAGATCTGGAGATAAAGTTAACAGGGGGGATGGAAAGTGGTGTTGAAGTTTTAAGGTTGGATGACTGGGAGAATTATACTTTTGTGTGTGTAAAACCAAGAAATCAGTATTGAGCGAATGACAGTCTTTTTGTCTACATCTTGAGTCTGGAAGTTCAAAGAAGTAGAGTAGGTGCTCATGAAAATGATCTCTTTCCATAAAGTTCTAATATTTTAACTTTGTACTGTTAATCGCTACTGTTTAAATATAACTGCCTTTTACTGTTAAAATGTATAAAAAGAAATGTAATAGAACTTTTATCAAATTTGTTTCCAGCAGGATCTATTAGTGGAGATATCATTGATGAGTTAATGTCTTCTGATGGTAAGTAGTTTAAAATTTTACTACCTACCTTATACATCATTACTTTTCTAGAGTTTATGAGTAGCATGTGACTGAAAAGAAATGAAGAACTTGTATTTGTTAACTGACTGCTTAATGTACTATAATGATTAATGAAAATTCTCCATTAAAAAGACTTTCTAGTAAATCATAGGCATCTTTCAGAATTTGTTTCCCTCTAATTTGAGAGAGAAAATTAATGAGGGGATACTTATCACCTTCACTGAATAAACTTCTAAACTGCTGGCACACTAGCCATTTTCACTCCTGAAAATTTGGCCAAGAGTAAGATAATTTATCTAAGTCAGCAGGTGATCTGAAATCCCAGTTTTGTGAATAATGCCACCATGGCGAATTTCAAGCTGCCAATGTGCAGTTATGGAACGATTGCTAACATTAGCCATGTTACCATATGAAATAATTCCTAAAAATTCTTTGGTTGCAATGCTATAATTAATTTAATAGTTCTCTTGGCTTTACCTTTCTATAAGTTCTTGGATTCAAAGTACTGTTTCCTAACAAATACAGCTGAGACCTAGGAAGCGGCAGCTGTTATATTAGCAATGGTACCACTTAAGAGATTTATTAAACATTTCTGTAGAAGCAGAGAATATCAGCAAATTTATTAAGTCTAGTTCTTGTTTTCAAACAGCTTATTTAACAGATTAAATACTTTGACCAGTGTTTGAATCCAATTTTAGCATCAAATTCAACAAATAAAAATTTTCACCTCTATTTCTCAAGCTAATCTACAATCAATGCATAAACTATCTTTAAACAAGAATCTTTCAAAAGATAAGGTAGATACAAATCATTAATTTGATCCTTTTCCTGTTACATACTTTAAAATTCTTGTATAACATAGGAAACAATTTAGTTTGGGTTGATATATTTAGGAGTATTTTATGTTAAACATCATGACTCGTATGTAAAAACAATCTTTTAACACTGAATTTGTGTTTTGCTTGCAGTGTTTCCTCTCTTACGGCTTTCTCCTACCCCAGCCGATGACTACAACTTTAATTTAGATGATAATGAAGGAGTTTGTGATCTGTTTGATGTCCAGATACTAAATTATTAGAGTCCACAGAAACTTGGGACTGTTATCTACCTCTAACTTTGTAACATTTTAGACTTCTTAACCTAAGTATTTAAAATAATGAATGTAACACCTTTTTAGTTCACTGATTCTTAAGTGTTCTTCCCTAATACTTTCTTTTTTTACTTCACAAAACTTCAACTATAAAACAAAGGGCTCTGTTTCAAGGGAAAAAGTGATGTAATATCCACCAACCCCACCCACCTTGAATAATTACATTCTGAATTTTAAACTTTCTTCCATTCTGAATCCTTCTGGTTTTTCCTCTTACAGGAGGGAAGTTAAAGTAGACTTAAGGTCATCAAAAACAAAAATGTTGCCCAAGGGCTTATCATTTGTTTGTCTTGTATTTTTACTGCCACAAAACTGTCCATATTTCTGTGTGTCCTCCAATCCAAATGGACATTCACTGCCACTTATAAAGTGAAGGATGTAAACTAGGATATATTACTGTTTCAGTGAACAGATTTTGTGAAGTGCCTTCTGTTTTAGCACTTTAAGTTTATCACATTTTGTTGACTTCTGACATTCCACTTTCCTAGATTATAGGAAAGATCTGTTTATGTAGTTTGTTTTTTAAATGTGCCAATGCCTGTACATTAACAAGATTTTTAAAAATAAAACTGTATAAAACATTTAATTTGTTGGTCTTTTTGGGGAATTTGATGCATCACCGTGTATTATAACTGAGCCATTAATCTTGTAGCTTCATCAACATTAACTGGTTCATTTTCTGGACACTGCTGAGAAATCACCTGCTTCTGCACAGGTTCAAGAGAAAGGCCTTTTGAGAAATGTGCGAGTTCCTTTTGTATGTCTATAAAAGCTTTATTCATTCTGTGAACTTTTTCAGCATTCACAATGTTTATCTTTGAAAAAGAAAAAGAGCATTAATCTATAATTTTATAACCATTAAAGATAAAATATATCCAACCTTAATTTAATCTTGTTAAACCTAAAAATCTAAACTCTTATCAACCTTACCAATTTGTGGGGAAAATGCACATGAAAGTTTTTATAGTATTATTGGACATTTTAGATAAAAGGTTCTTGTTTTTTAAAAGAAAGAATTATGTGGGTATACCTCATACCTAGACTTTGTTGGTATAAGCAGGCCAAAATATATGACCACAATCTTTCTAGGCAATTATCTCTTCATCTGTAAAATGAGGAGCTGGGATCACATACTCTTGGCATCTTTCGACAGTAGTGTCTGAATCCTTCCTCAACCTTCTTGCCTTAGTGGAAGTCCCCCGCAGTCTCCTGAGGACAGCTTTCCCTGAAGCTCTCTCCTTTTGAATCCAACAGGTTGGGGAGAGCAGGTGGTATTCTTGCTCTTCACTACTACTCTCAAACTAGGTCACTTTCAAAACTCTCAGCTCCTTTGCACCTTACCTTCAGGACATTCTGACACTACTTTCCTCATTACTGTCAGCTACTAACACCACAAATACTCCTTCATAAAAGACCTCAAGCCTTGACTCACTGACCTCTCTCTTGCCTGGCATTGCTGTTGAGTGGCTTCAACAAAATTCTTCTTCTGTGGCTTCTTAATCTCTTCAGGTCCTCATCTCCAGGGATCTTTTCCACTGCCTACCTCAGCCACCCACTCCTGTGGATTACCTTCAGCTGTACTGTTAACCTGTAACTGTACTGCCTCCTGTCCTTCTGGTTTATTAACAATTCTTAAATATTACTGAGACCTTTCCCACCAATTTAGTTATTTTTCACACTTTCATATCCTCAGATTTTCCTTTAGCCAGCACTGATTCCATGATCATATTTAATCAATCACTTTACACACTCTTTAACTTTCCTTCTTGTCTCTTCCTTAATCAAACTTGATTGGCAACCTAGTTAAATTCAACTAAGTCTTTTTCCAAGCCTAAAATTGAAGCTGTAGAAAATTATGACTGACTGGCTGGTTTCACTTTTAATTCATGACCACAAACTTCAACTTACCATTTATATAGTGCCTGGCAATCTTAAGACCTGCCACTAGTTAGTTAGGCCACTTTCTTCAAAAACTATTTGATACTTTTTCCAACCAAGCTACCTACCCACAGCTGTCCCTCCCTTAGATCTTTTCTATTAGCATATATATAATTAAAAGCTTCTAGTACTTCCTATTCAGACGAAATGATCTTCCTCAAATATCCCAAGCTTATCCCTAGCTTGGGGCCACTGTACTTGCTATTCTCTCTGCCTAGAATATGCCGCTCCCAACACTTCCCAGAGCTTTCCATACTTCTGCTTATCATTTGGGTCTTGGCTTCAATATCAGCTTTGAAGACAATCCTGTGTAAAACTGTCACCTTCCTACCCATCATAAAACCCAGCTTTCAGTTCCTTTATAGCATTTACAAAGTCAGAAAACTCAATCAAAAAGCTCAACTCAGGTAGCTCATGAAAGTGTTATATTTCTACGGATTATTATGACAATTACTGACCTGGATAGCTGACTCCACCTACTACTTAAACTTGAAAACATTTTCTTGAAGTTTTCTCAAAGAATCTACTTACTTTTGATTAAGAAATTCCCCACATACTTTGAAATAAAAGCAAAGATGATAAACTTTTTTCTCAAATTTTGCATTTTAAAAGAGAAAGTATTTTATTTTCATTTTACAGGTTTTTGAGTTCTAGGTATTGTCAGAAATAAGAACTACTGACGAAAAAAAATACGGGTGCTAACATTCCATGTCCTGGCTCTGTTAAAAGGTTCTTGAATATATCTGAGTTCAGAAATAAGAACCTTGGTTTTTAGTAATTTCTACACTCTCATAAAGCTATTAAGCTGTTATTTGGATCCTCATGCATATGTAAATGTCTCTCGTCATCTGGAGTCAAGAAAGGGAGGTAATTTTTCTTAATTTTTTGAAAAACATGTTTAAATTGTGCCTTTGTGGGAAAGGCTAAGAATCTATTTTAAATAACAGCATTCAGCTATTTCAGTAGCTTTACAACTATGCTTTCCTTATAAACAAGGAGTGCTTAACTAATACTCACCTTCTTAAGATTAGTGGTAACTGGTTTTGCTTTGTTTTTAGTCTTAAAGGTTTTCTGGCTGGCTATGTGAAATACATTCCTTGACTTCTGACCTCTTAGTTTGCTCCTGGCCATTGTCTAGGAAAGAAAAAAAAAGGAGTTTAATTAAGCTGCTCACATTTATGAACTAGAAATCAATTTAAAGTAAAGGTACCAATTAAGTCTCATCTTAATCCTGATTATTTTAAAAGTCACTGCATGTATGAAACTATTTCCATCTTTTGCCCTGACTAGATTTTCTGCTGTTTGAGTGCAGGGTGTGTATCCAGTTCTTTTCTGCGTATCCAGTAGCTGGCCTATAGGAGGCACCACACTAATTTCGGTTGGTTGGATTCATTAATACTATCAACACAAAACAACTGTTCTTTCAGCTTTCTGTGGCATCCAACAATGTTAATCACCATCCATTCTTCTGGCTGGTTTACATACTATATCATCCTGGTTCCTACTGCACTTCAGGACTGACTGCTGTCTCTTCCTCCTTTTCCCTTCCTTTTTATTTGCCCAACTTTCTCTCTGTGTGTATTCCTTAAAATCAGTCCTTAATTCTCCACTTCCCACCTCTCCCTCTCCCTTGAATTACTTTAACCTTTCCCATATCACCGCTATGTGAATTGCTTTTGTACTGAAACTTTGTTTGCTTTATAGCCAAACATGCACTAAGCCTGTAAATTCTATCTTAGAATCTGTCTCTAACAGTGCATGTGGGGAACAATTTTATAAACATGAATAGTTAAGATTTATTGAGCTCTTATGATATGTACAAGCCCTATGCTATCATTTTTTAACTGAAATATCATTGATACACAATTTTATATTGGTTTCAAGTATACAACCCAGTGGTTCAACAGTTACCCATGTTATTAAATCCTCACCCCCGTTAGTGCGGTTACTATCTGTCAACATAGGAAGATGTTACAGAATTATTGCCTATATTCTCCAATCTATGTTAACATTTATGTACTTTTAATTTACTCCTCAGAACACTTTGTGGGAGGTACTCATACCACTATTTTATAGATAAAACTGATGACCCTTGTCACACTGCTAGTCATGACAGAATGAAACAATTCAAAGCCAGGCAGACTACCTTGGGAGCTCACATGTGATATGGCCTCTCATGTACAAATAAAAAAGCAACAGAAAAACATGACATAGTACTGCCTAGCTCAGGACATGGTTACTGCTACAGTCCCTTGGTCCATTTGGTTAGACCACGGGCTGACAAACTATGCCCATAAGACCAAATCAGGTTAGGCACCTATTTTCTTAAAGTTTTATTAGAACACTTCTATATGTACTTGGTCACTACTATCTATATGGCTACTTTCCTGCTATGGGTATACGGCCTGCAAAGCCTAAAATATTTACTATCTGACTTTTTATGGAAAGATTGCCACCCCCTGGCTTAAGCCATCTGAATTCAAGTCTATCCTGCAGGGTGCTAGGGGATAAACCTTCCAAATATTAAAAACCTTCCATGGCTCTTCTACAGTGTAAAGGACAACATGCTTTCTCCTGGTACGTTGCTGGCACCCGGAATATAGCATAAAGTTGTCAAACGTAACTCCTACGACCTCACTGTACACACCCGGCCTACTCGCGGCCTACTCTACTAATTGTTCTCTGAAGACACCTTGCACACTCTTCTTTTGTTTCCTTTGCACAAATTTCTCATCTTAAATTTATATCCTTCAATGTCTAGCCTCAGCAAACGGGCAGTAATGCTTTTGAACGCCAATAATACTCATTCTGCTTAAAAAAAAAAGACAGCAGAAAATGCATGATTATTAAGGGAGTAGAAAATACACATAAATCGTCTCCCCTAACAATTTAAATAATCTAAAATCCTTCCAAGAGTAACGAACAGCCAATCACTTATGTGGTATTCATTAATCACTTTAACGCAAGACGTGTGTGGTACGTTGACATACAAATATGTACGCGAAACATACGGACAGACACATCCCAGGGGGTAGTGGGTCGCCAGCATACAGGTGCGGACTCAAGAGGGAGTGGCCCGCTAGCGCTGGGGACCTGGGGTAAGTTCGCGGAAAAAGTAAAACCCTAGTGGGGAGGGCGCGGGAAAATCCTCTGAAACCTCGTGGAAGAAAGGCTGCCAAGGGCTTAAAGGCCCCATAGACACGGGGTAGGCCAGCCGGCCCGCTGCCGTACGGCTGCCAGAAGCAGCGAGCGACGGAACCGAGCCCCCGGGCCCTGGCAGCAGGAGGCCCACCAGTCCTGCCCCAGCCCCCAGAAACGTCACGCCCGTCAGCCGGAACGCTTCATCCGCCTCTCACCAGACCTCCGATACCCTCCAGCGGCTGTTCCAACTTCTGGGGACGCCGCCGGCTCGCAAAGGATTCAGGAAGTTCCGGGGTGAGGAGCCAGTCAAAATTCCTTACAGGTCGTGGTCCCGCCCACCGAACAAAGCCCCGCCCGCAAGACGAAGTCCTATCCGCGGAGTTCGGCCTCAGAGGCAAAGCCCTGCCCACCAACCAGAGTCCCACCCACAGGCGCCGCCCGAGAGCAGAGAGAAGCCCCGCCCACTGAGGGTAGTTCCTCCCCCGAGCAGCATCCTCTGCAAACCCAGCGAACCCCGTGGAAGCCCCGCCCACTGAAGGTAGTTCCTCCCCCGAGCAGCATCCTCTGCAAACCCAGCGAACCCCCACGCGTGGAGCGAAGCTCCATTCACCGTGGAAAGTCCCGCCCCTGGAGCATCCTCTGCTTAAGGTGGGGCTTCGGCCACGTACTCCGCTCGGCGAGCTAGCAGTGCCGGGGACGCCGCCAGTCTGGGCCTCCCGGGATGGGTAGGTGTCAGTCCCAAGTGGTAGGCCCTCCCGTTGACTCCTGGCTGGCTCTCCTCACGCTTCCAGGAGGTGGCGCTGAGCGCGTCGGCCTGACGTCCGGGGCTCGGTAGGCCGTGGGAAGACCCATGTGACTAAAGCGCTCTGGAGCTATTCTCTCCCAAGGGAACACTTCTAATAAGCTAGCAGTTAAGGTGCTTTTCTTCATGGTAATTTCCTTGTTTCGAAAGGGAGTATCCGACAGCTCCATAGAGGCACAAGAGAATATAAAAAGAAAACAAGCATCAGGGAACTTCGAAACACATAGATGAAACATTTTTGCCTTCCGGTTGTGTGTGTATCTGTGTGTACATTTCTCAATTAGGACGTTCTGGATTTTCTGAAAATTGACTCAATTCTCCCAAGAGGATCTTTCCACTAAAGTAACAGTTTTCACGTGTTTCTCTACTTTGTTGAGATCATAAGAAAAGCCAGATTTTAAACAAGTGTGGACGAACTGATATTTATATATCATTTTGTAACTTACAAGAATTTAGTCTTCATTCTGCTCTAAGTATCAAAATAAGGGTCCTAATACCACTCCCCTTTGCAAGTGAGGATACTACTAAGGCTCAGTGTTTAGGCCATTTGCAGGCATCCACAAAACTAGTAATTAACAAAGCCAAACTAAGACAGACTTGGACTGGACCTCAGTCAAGCCCTCTTTCTGCCAAATCAGCCAGTTGCCTGGTTATAGGAAGTTGAGCCACGTTTACAGTAAATTGTCTTATTTTGTTTATGTCCATCACCCAAAAAATAGGGAATATGTTAAAGCAGAATAATTACCTGTCAATGTATGTTTATATAAATTTTGTATTCTTTGTAAAGAGAAACTTTTTGAAAACACTTTAAAATCCTGGTACAAGATGCCCATAATGTGTGGAGGCACAACCAAAACAAAACCAAAGCTACAGAAAACCAACAGATTCTTTTACACGGCCAGAGTTATCCACGAATACTGAAGCAAATGAGGCAGGTATAATTATGGCTCCTTAGATGTGAACTTATTGATGTACTTAAGGAAGGTAAAGAAATAGATGTGATGGAATGATGTGACAGTGTTTATGAAAACTGATGGGCCTAGTTTTTATTCTTTAATGGTGAGCTAGAGATTCATACCAAAGAAATACCGCGGTTATACAGGCAAGAGCAGGTGTATCATATGAGGTATGAGTGAGGAGGCATGGATTTCTGTTTCACCTTTCTCACCAACCAACAGTGTGCTCATGGAAAAGTTCTCTGTGCTTCCTTTCCCATATGTAGATGGTCATTCAGAGAATATACCCACTTTAGAGAGCATTCATTATCTGCTTAGCATCCCTTTCTGGGAAACTGCTCTTCTCCCATTAAGTGGTCCTAGTAGAGCTGATAATTACAGTACTTCTGTAAAGATCTGCCAACCACAGCTGGTGAAGAATGCTAGTGTTGCATTTAGTGTCTTGTGCTGGATGATGTGAACTTTAGGCTGCTGTTATTTCCTTTAGCAATTTGCAGGAAGCCTGTCTGCAATGGGGCAGAATAGGGCAACACACAAAAGAAAACAGCTGAACAGTAAAACATAGGACCCAGATGTTATCATTTGAAACCTTGAATTTGGCCATAGAAGAAAGATCCATTCCTGGACTTCTCACTTACTTGAATGGAAACATTTTTTGGGGGGGAGGGGGGACTAAATTTTCTTGGGTAATTATTTTTTAAATCACTTGCACCTGGAAGAGTTTTAAGTACTGTCCGACCTATTTCACAGGATTATTGTGTAGAGCTAATGAAATACAAAACACAAAAGCATAAGGTATTACTGAGACAAAAGACAGGAGTGTGTTAATTTTCCAAAATCCATTTACCTATGAACCAAATATATAGAAAGAAAGAAAAAAAGCTCAAGTTTTCTAATCATTAAGAACACTTGCAAATATCACATGTTCAGTTTTTCTAGCAACCTTAAGGATGAATAAAATCATAAATGGTAAAAACATTTTTTGGAAACCTTAGTTTTCCTATTGAGAACTCAGTAGTGCAGAGTTATTTATACAGATCTGGTCTTCAAAGAACTGTGTTGGAGGCAATTCAACAAATAAAGATAATGAAGGAGAAGAAGAAAATGATAGCACACATAAATAATTACAAACCACTTATAACAAATCTCATAGCACTTCGCCGGAACAAAGGCTGCCCTGTATAGATGATATTTGATGACAAACTTGTTTCGTCTATTCAACCTTATTCTCTCCAGCACTCAATGTCATTTGATCAAAATAGTTTGAACACCTGGGCTCTGTGGGCACTCAAAGGAAGTATGTGACCATTTCTTTCTCTTAAAGGCGCAGAGTCATCTGGGAGAATCAGATGTATGCACTCAGAATAGTCATTTTTGATAGTATGTGGTAAGGACTATGACAAATGCACAAAAAATGTGCTATTTATGGAAAGAAGTTATTCTGAATTCTGGCAACAATCATGTTAAAGTTCTCATCTGATTGTCTTAAACAGAAATCAGCAAACTACAGCTCAAAGGCCAGATCTGGCCCACTACTTATTTTTGAATAGCCCATGAACTAAGAATGGTTTTACATTTTAAAATGGGGAAAAATCAAAATTAGAACAATATGTTGTAACACATGAACATTACATTAAATTCATATTGCAGTGTCCTTAAGTGCATTAAGTTGGAACACAGCCAGTTTGTTTACATATCATCTATGTAACTGCCTTTGTGCTACAATAGGAGAGTTTAATAGTTGCAGCAGAAACCACATAACCTGCAAAGCCGGAAATATTTCTTATCTTGCCCTTTACCACCTTTCTAAAAACCTTTACTAACCCATCTTAGAGCATGGCAGCAGGGTGGTATAATTGACTGAAATATTAGTGTGTTCTACTCAAAGCAATAGAGAGCTTAAAAGAGTGAAAGGCACTTTTCCTCCCAAGCATTCTAAGGTGGCTAAACCTTTACAAAGTGACTTTGAGTTTTCTTGTCTCTAATGATTATCAATGATTTTCATGTTTCTGGACTGAAAGTGGAACTTCCCAGATGTGTTTAAGACATTCCCATCTGGGTCTTTCGGGAATGGAATAGAGAAATGGCTTAATTCTAGGGGAGCTTCCTAAAACTGAAAATGTTTGGGGAGAGGGTGGCTACGGTTTTCCAGTGAGTGCTTGACATTTACGTCCCTATGGCACATAGCACTATGGCCTGATGAGTAGTAGCAGTAGTGTGAGATCCCAAGACCAAAAAGTATAACAGAAGGGATGGGCTTCCTGCTTGCAAATGAAATCTGGTCTTTGATACTGAATGGGGCAGCCATTGTGATGGACTGAAGACTAGAGAAAGTTTCCATTTTCTGGGTACTGGGTAAGCCACTCGCTTCCCATGTATTTGAGATGGAGATAGAATTTTTATACTAAATTAAAGTTTGGAGCCAGGTTTGATTTGATTTAAAAGTTTAAGTTTTATGATGTATATGATATGCTTACACTGAAGCATTTAAGCACTTTGATATTTCTTATACTGAAACTTTTAACCAGGCAAATGGAGCTGTAAGATCTTCTAGGAATAGAGCATAGCTTCTCTCCATTTCTGCTTTATAGAAGTGGGAGCAATTAAATATGGCTGGAGAGGTGGGAATGTGGGAAAGTGAGGTCTGGGTAAGATGAGCTAATGAAGGCCTTGACAACTAGAAAGGTTTTATTTTATTTTTATTTTGAAATTGCTTCAAACCTACAGAAAAAGCACAAAAATAATACAAGCTTTTTGTTCTCTGAACAATTTGAGATTACGTTACCAAACATAATTTACCCTTATGCCTAAATACTTTAGTGTGTATTTCCTATAAAAAAAAGATATTCTCCCATCAAAAATAAGGAAATGAACACTGATACATTACTACTATTTAATCCACAGTCACCACTCAAACTCCATCAATTATGCCTATAATGCCTTTTATAGTCAAAGGATCCTATTCAGGACAAAGTTTTAATTTAGCTGTCATGTCTTTTTGTCAACTCTTACCGGGAACAGCGTCTCAGTCTGGCCTTGGCTTTCCTGGCTTAACACTTTTGAAAATAACAGTCCAGTTATTTTGTAGAATGTTCTGTATTTCTGTTGTTTCCTCATAATTAGACTCAGGATATGTTCTGGTGGAGGGGCAGGCCAAAATGCCACAGGAGTGACGCTGGGAGCCAGTGGTCTGGGAAGTAAGTGATAAGGCCAAATGAGGAGATGGTGAGCCTGGAATGACAGGTTGCCTGGTAAGTCTCCTCTGAGTATCCAGTGCATGCCGAACAGTCAATAAAAATGACATGCATTCTGCACTTCTCTGTAGCTGTTTTGTGGCCCAAATAAGTAGTAAGTTACCCTCCAAGGAAATCTGAATTTCTTGTGAGGAGCCAATTAGAACATGCAGTTTTCCATGATTCATTATGGAAATGAAGAGGCCTTTTTTCCTTTAACCTCTTGGTGACAGATGCATTTTTAGGCTAAGAACAAACACCTATATCATATTCTGTATAATAAAGCAGAGCAGAACAGATAGAACCCTCCACCTTTCTTTCTAGGTCAGATTCCTGGA